AAATATTATGAGGATTAAAAAAAAAAAAAAAAGTTGCTTTTTCCATCTAGCTTGGGAGTTTAAAAATTCCTGCCCAACAGAGCACAGAGGGTTACAAAGAATGATGAAAATGCTCGCTTCTCATTCTTAAAACTAACGGATTCCATAATCAATATGGCGACTAATTAGATGAAGGCTTGGGAGACATTATAAAAGTAATAAGAGTATTTCCTGAGTGCTTTATATATATATATATATATATATATATATATAGTACTTTACATATACTCTCTCATTTAATCTTTACAAAAACCCAAAGTAAATACACAGTTCTCCATTTTTCAGAGGAGGACACCAAGGTTAGAGCTTACACCATGAGCCTAAGGATATGCAGTGAGGTAGGTGGTGAATCCAGGATTTGAACCCAGGTATGATTAATGCCAGGACCTGTATTCCAGTACCTCTCTCACTATGTGCTCTTGATCCATGACTAGAAAATGCAACATTTTACTTGCTGTACTTAAACATACTGAGAAGCATTTTAAGTCTAGGGAAAAAGGTGGTGCCTATAAGAAGGTACCAAAATTTTTTTCTATTCCACTTTATTGATTCATTTTAACTTAAAAATATATATATATACTTTTATTTATTGAGAGGAAGGTGGAGAGAGAGAGAAATGTCAGCGGTGAGAGAGTGTCACTGGCCGGCTGCCTTCTGCATGTCCCCTACTAGGGATTGAGCCCACAACCGGGGCATGTGCCTTGACTAGGAATTGAACTGTGGTCTCCTGGATCCTAGGTCGATGCTCAACCACTATGCCGGACAGGCTACTGATTCACGTTAAATAAATATTATAAAAATACAGTTAGCTTTTATATATACGTAAATGCAACAAAAACAAATGTACATACTGATTAGTTTCCCTGCCATGTCCTTGTTGGACCTTGACTCCTTGGGATGTTTATAGAGATACATTACTGCTCGTCCAATCCCACTATGCTTCAGGGTCTCCTGGCTCACACTAGGTAGCTGAGAATATAAGCACATGCACACACATTAACCACACAGAAACTGAGTCCTGCCAGTCTATTCTAGAGGATCACTCTTAGACCTGGTTGATTCACAATAGAATAACAAAAAAAAAACACTCCATTTTCAGGATCTACACATACTGAACACACAGGTATTTTGTGTTCACATCAAGAGTTCAGTACTAGTGCTGAGTCCAAGTAAAACAACAACATGAGAAAATGTGAACTAAGCATACTCAGAGATTAGCAAATTAATATAAGAGTCAGCACTGGCCTCAGAATTAAACAGACCTGAACCCAAGCATAGCCATCTGCGAGAAACGTGACCTTCGACAAGTCATTTAACTTCTCTGAGTCTTAACTTCCTCATCTGTGAAATGGAGACGAGACACCTACCTGCAGGTTTGTTATGAGGAGTAAGAACACCTAGGATAAAGGTGGTTTCTCGAGAACTCCTTTACAAGTTAAGTAGCTTGCCCAAGGTCGTCACAGCCATGTAAAAGTGGCTCAACCTAAGATTCCAATGCAGGTTTATCTGGCTCTGAAGTTGGTACTCTTTTTACTTCAAGTTCCTCCCCCAAACATGCCGACTACTGTATTGCTCTACTTAGAAACCACAGCTACTCCAAGATCTTTTTCCCTTCAATACTAGAGTTACATGAAGTTGATCAGTCCCCCCTTTTATGCTCATTTTATTTTGCTACATTCCTAAAAAACATACTGAATAAAACTCTTCTGGCAGGCTATGGCAGAGAGAATGTATAAATACATGGTAAAATACAGAGATTGTAATAACACAAAACACATTAGATAATTAATGATGAGTGAACAATCAGATTATCTGCCTCTAACCTCTTGCAGAATCTTCAACAGCTCCTCTCGAATCTTCAGTGCTGGCAAACTCCTATCTGGGAGAGGTGAGAGCCATTCTTTGATGGCAGACATCACACCACTGTCAATAAATGTTTCTTTAAGGTCCTGCCTGCAATAACAATTAAAAAAAAAAAAAAAAAAGTCAAGTCTATGTATGCTGGTTCTGCTATCACTTCCTTTGGATTTTCTTCCATATTTAATGATGTTTCCAAAAACTCCTCCCACAGAGTCAGTCATGCATTCATTATTCACTGTGCACCTCATTCACGGGTTTCAAAAGCAATATAAAATTTAATTCCTATTTTCACAGACCTGACAGGCAAAGACAATTTGTTAAAAACAAAACAAACCCAAATTACACCAGATAGGTTAATGCCAATATAAATGGTACAGACAGTAAAAATAATGAGCTCCAATTATTACAACTATAAAACTAATGATTTATCTGTCAGAAAAGTGATTCTTAAACTGTTTCAGGTGAAAGAAAACTCAGAATTATGCAAGACACAAGGAAGAAAAGCATTCACCTAGCAGAAAAAAATACCAACGAAAAACTGATATTTAAATTTCATTTTATGTACCAGAATCAATTACGTTAATAGAAAACACGACAACATTAGAGGCAGCTATTTTCTAGGGAAGTCCTAGCCCATGCTGTTGGCGCCTTGGTGTGTGAATGCATTTCTCTATAGCCGTCAAAAGTAGGCTGTGGCTAGGTTCAAGGGGAAATCAAACTGTTCAGGCACGTGAGCAAAACAACGGAAGACCATGGTAACCATGGTTCATTAAGAAAAGGTCCTTTTTCCACAAGGACCAGTGGCACAGTTCAGGACAGAACAGGCTATACAAGCCTTGCGCAACACGCGCTTCAGTCTCCCAGAATTTGCTCTGTTCTCACACCGGGAAAACACATGGAATTTTACCAGACTGAAAACTGTCTATAAAGAACAAAATTAGTGGTTTCCAAGCTTTTCTTTCATTAATATTAGTTTGCTATTTGTTCTGTTTGCATCAGGCATCAAGGTTTAAAAGAAATTTGTGAGAAGGTAATGTAACTTAGGAAATCTACTCGCTACCGTTCTACGACCTGACAGAAGGCAATCGTTCTTTAATCTCTCTAGAACACCAGTACATAATTTGACTATTACTCCATTAAAAGGAAAAAACTTTTTCAGTAAAACAATACTCACTTCTTAAGGTGCATAACCACAGTAGGTAATAATGTTAACTTTTTCAGTGCTGGCTTTTTTTGATTGTTCAACTGTCTGTCTTCCTATCCAGGGAGAAAAAGATTTAAAAAAAGAAAGAAAGCCATTGTTAATAATGAATTTCAACCACTATAATTAAACTCTAAAATAAAGCTGCAATTTCCCTGAGAAACTATAACTTTTCCTACAAGGAAAATAAAGTTAAAAACTGACTTTGTGTAGAGCCCCAAATTCTGTATTTGTCCATGTCAATCAAACCCATGAAGCCATCAGAATAGCTTTAACAATTACAAATTGAGAAAAATAGTTTTAACTGAAAATGCATAACTGTAAAGTTTTCCAGAGTTCATTTAAGGTATAAAATTATACCTGGGAAAATTTGGTTTATCATCAGAAAGAACTTTCCAGCTGCGAAGCCTGTATGATAATAAGATGCCATTAAAGAAGAGTTTCAGTATTTACTTGGGCATTTTTTAAATTATGAAAAATTTCAACTTCTACAAACACAGAAAAAATATATACTCCTGTTATGTACAATTAAACACACATGGTCAGTCTTATTTTAGCTATTTCTCTAGCTGCTTCCCCTCAACCATGAATTATTTCAAAACAAATCCTAGACACATATCATTGAATGTATAAATACTTCAGCAAATATCTCCAAAAAATAGAGCTTGTTTTTAAAAACAATACTTGGTCAATTAAAAGAATTGGGGCAGAATTTTAAAGTGCAATGAGTTAAATGCAATCTTTTAATCAGAGACAAAAGAAAGACATGAGTTTATAACAAAATAAACATTAGTTTCTGACTTTTTATATGTGAAGAAACATTAAACTTTGTGGTAAACCAGCCAAACTGGAGAGTAAAATCATTCCCCCATAAAATTAGCAAAGCCATTAGGCTAAAAAGGCTCATTTTACTTAATACTGAGTCTTCACTTTTTTCTAATCATGGTACTAAAAAATTAAAATTATTTCTGTGCTTTAAATTTAGAACACTAAATGCTTTATTACAAAAAACAGTATCTTAAATGTAGTTTAAGCAAGGGTTAAAAGCTAAAAAACAAACCAAAAAAAGCCACACAATTAAGTGGGAGAAAGATGAAGCTAGAAGTGAGCCAACTCACCTCGGCAGCTTCATTCATCTTGACGATCATGGCGCTCACCACATCGTCGGCATCACTAATAAAAGTACCACCATCACGATTGCGTCTGCGCTTGCCGCTCATGCTCTTTTTCCGCTGTAACATCATCTCAAAATCCGACAGAAAGTCCATACTAAGCAGTAACACAGAAATCAAGTAAAATATAAATTGCCTTCTAAATACACATTTCCTCTGATCACAGTTAAGAACCACCAACTTTCTTAATTCTAATTCAACGGAGAGCTACCTTCCTTTAAAGTACTGAGTACTTATAACTTGCTTTTATAAGAGCACGTGATCCTAGGTTTTATGCTCCACCTCTCTACCACCCTATCTGCTATGCCACTAAACACTAATAGCTCCACACTTTTCATACGCTATGTTGACACCTGTGTGTGTCAGCTTGAGAAAGAACACCTCAAATTTCAAGTTCTCTTTCGGGGACACTGCCTGCACTTCCATGGTTCAGTTACAGCTGCATTGCCTTCTGGAGGGAAGTAAAAATAAACTGCTGCTTTTCAGGGATATAACTCAAAACATAATGTGACTGAGATAAAGCTGGATATCTACAGACTTGCTAAGTGCCTCAAACCTTTACAGCTTTCACCTGAATCATTACCCTTAAAGAGGAAGTTAACTCGCTCTCTGCCACTATCATATAAATGAGATACAATTTATGTGATAATTTCCAAAGGTATCACCAAGCTCCTTCACCATGTCACTAGGAATTAAAAAGGAAATTATCTTTTAAACCATTATTTTTACAACTGTAAATAGCAGCCAATGAATCTTTCTATATTTGGCACCTTTCAAGGTACTGGATTTTTCTGAACAGATTACAACCATCTCAACAAAAGTATGTGAAATACAATCAAGTAATATTTTGTCATTAAGACTTTAGTGTTATTCCCATCAGGACCCCCAAATCAGCTTTTCGTATTTAGCACATTTTTGGGAAGAGCTTATTTGCTGGGATATAAATTAAGAGCCTGGCACCATATAACTCCACCAATTACAAAAGCTGAGCACAAGGCAAATAAAAGAAAAACGAGAGCACACAGCTTCTGGACAGCACTGTATACAGAAAGACAAAGTAGAAAAATTGAACAGGCTCCTTCCTATACTCATCAGAAGCCAAAGTAAGAAAAAAAAGTTGGATAGTCTCTACCTTTATTTTTATATTCGCTTTAAAAAATTCCTTTTAAATAAAACAAACTTACTGTTTTCCTCTCTTTATATTATCATCAGAATCTGAATCTTCAGCTTCTTTGACCTGTGTTTCACTTTTTTCTTCTTCCAAATCTTCTTGGTTAAAACCCTAAAAGCAGGCTAAGTTAACCAGAGTTATCACAACCACATGACAAATTTCCTTTTGTGTAACTACTCTTAATTTTTGTACTTTAACTGCAATGCATTCACAAAGAACGAAAATTAAATAGATATCGAAAGGTACATAGCAAAAAAGCTCCCTCCCACCCTAGCCACTAGTGTTACTAGCTTTCTTGTGTCTCCTTCCAGATATAGTCATTTAAACAAGCACTTTTACACATGCTATATTTACCACCTCTTCTATTACACAAATGGCAACATCTACTATACACACTAGGTGTATTGTTACACACTTCCCAAATATAACAATAAAATCTGGAGACCAATTCCTATCAGTATAAAGTACCCTCATTCTTTCGAAGGTTTTAGGCTATTTCACCACGACTGCAATCATAGTTTGTTTATACATTCCCCTGTAGACATTTAGATATGTGTATTTGAAAGTTTGAGAAATATTTGCCAAACTGTCTTCCATAGAGGTTATGCCAATTACCTCTTCTTGCAGCAAGGCATGAATGCACTTGTTTTCCCACCTTCACAGGTGATCAAACACTGATATTTGCCAATCTCTGGACTGATAAAGCATCTGTGTAGCTCTCTTTGCACTCTGTTGTTACGAATAAGGCTGGGCATCTTTTTCCATGTTTAAAAAGCCATTTGCAATTCCCTGTGAACTCTCAATATCCTTTGCCCATTTTATGCTGGATCTTTGCCTCACTGGTGTGAAAAACCTTACAAATTCAGGAAATTAGCTCTTCTTAAGTGAAAGGAACTGCACAATCCTTACATCTGTCCAGTTAGCTTTTGCTTATGGTAATGTTTTCCAGGCATGATTCTTTTATTTATTTATTTCAATTTTATTTTTGTTTAAAATATTACAGATGTCCCTTTTTCTCCCCAATGACTCATTCCACCCCATCCCATTCCCCTCCCCAATCCCTCTCCCTCTCCCCACCATTGTCCGTGTCCTTGGGTTGTGCATATATGCATATAAATTCTTTGGTTACTCTCTCCCCCTCCATCCCTCTGACATTCATCAGTTCCAGGCATAATTATTATTATTATTTTTTAAAAAAATATTTTGATTTCAGAGAGAGGAAAGGAAAGGGAGGGAGTTGAAACAATGACAGTCATTGATCAACTGCCTCCGGCACACCCTTGACCGGGGATCGAGCCTGCAACCCCGGCACGTGCCCCAACAGGGAATCGAACCTCGATCTCCTGGATCAAAGGTCGACGCTCAACTGCTGAGCCACGCCCGGCCGGGCCATAATTCTTTATGTAACTGAAATATATGGTAAATCTTTTCTTTATAGCTTCTCTTATGTCATATTTAGAAAGGCCTTCCCAACGGTTGTTGGGAAGTATGTTTTTCTCACTGAAATGAGCGTATAACAAAGCTGACGCTAACTCTCCAAACTAGAGAAACATATCTTATTTTTGTAAAATGCTTAACTGAATATGAGCTTCATGAGGGCAATTTCTAAACAATCTCTGGCAGACAGGCTCTGAAATATTTGTTGATTCATCCAGTTTCATTCTCTCTTGCTTTAGTAATAAAAGATTTCTTTTTTAACCCAAGAACTGCTTAACAAGAAGTTTTAAATTTCTGAGTGACAAGGGTGTTAGCTGCTACTTTTGATAATTTTCAATTTCACTGCATTGAATTCAGAAATGTTGTCTATACTTTGTACTTTTTGCAAAAGCTTGATTTAAAATTTATATAAAAATGCAAACCAAGGAAAGCCAAGTCAATCTTGAAGAATAACAACCTTAGAGGACTAAATATAAAAAATTATTAATGGCGCAAGGATAGAGACCAACAGAACAGAAGAGATACTGCAGGAACATACTGGATAACACATATAGACACTTGGTCTGTGACAAAGATGGCATCATACGGTGGTGGGAACAAATGAGCTGGGTCAACCGAATATTCCAAATGGGGGAACCCTGGCTCTACCTCATGCGCACTACACAAAACCCACTCCAGGTGGACTGTACAACTGCATGTGGAAGACAAAACAGTCGAGCTTGTACCATGTAACTCAGGAGACTATCTTTAAAACCCTGGGAAGCAAAATCTTTCTTATAATTAAAAAGTTTTCAACATAAAGGATTGGTAAAGTTGATTTATATTAAAATTAAGAAGTTTTGTTCATAAGACTCCATTAAGAAAGTAAAAAGGCAAGCCACAGAAGACATTTTTTAGTTTTATAATCACCAAAGGACTTTTATCCAGGTTATATACATAAAAAGACTCTTCTGCAGTTTTTTGGTTTGCTTGTTCTGTACATCTGTCCATTTCTTTTTGCAGTTCTGTCAATTTTTGTTTTGTATGGACATGGCTAGGTAAAATTTAAAAAAAACTTTAGCAGTATAAAGTGATCCTGTGTATCTGAAATAATGTTGGGTGGTTTTTTTTTTACCTTAAGTCTACCTCTTTGCTATCCATACAGCCACACCAGTTTTCTTTTGGGTAATGTTCAGATAAAGTATCTTCTTTATCCTTTTATTTTCAACTTTTATCTCCTTTCAGATGAATCTTGAAATTAGTATACAGGTTTTTCAAAATCCAATCTGATCATCGTTGTCTTTTAATTGGAGAATTTAATGTAATTTCTGATATTACCAGTTTAAATCTGTCACCTTACTACTTTCTAATTGTCCCCCTGTTCAATGTTCCTTTTTATTTTTTCTTCCCTTCTTTTAGATTGATTAGCTTTTATTATTCCATTTCCCCCCCTCTATCAGGTTGGAAGCTACACATTCCAATCATCTTTCTAGTGGTCACCCTAGAAAGACTACAAAGGGCACCCTAACTGATCAAAGTCTAATTGGCTTTTACAAACATTTGCAAAGGTCTGTGAACACTTCAATTCCACGTATATTCCCAATTTATTACTGCTGTACTGTAGTTTAATTTTAAACCACACCAGACATAACTTTATTTTATATAGACAATACTCATTTAGACTTATCCACATACTCTGTTACCTTTTATCCCTCCCTATATTCCTGATCTTCCATCTAAGATTTTCCTTCTGCCTTTAGTATGTCCTTCAGTGGTATACTGGTAAGACGAAGAAAGGAGGAAATATATATTCCTGAAAAGTGTTTTTGCTGAACAGAGGTCTAAGTTTGCAGTTATTGAATTCTATTGTTTCTGTTGAGAAGTCAGCTGTTAGTGTAACTGCTGCCTCTTTTTCTGAATGTAATTTTCCCCTCTGGCTGCCGCTTCGGTGCTCTTCTCTTTGGTTTCTTGCAATTTTACTGGTGTTATGTAGGTGATTTTTTGGTATTTATCCTGCTTGTAACTTATAGAAGTCCTAGAATCTAACAATCAACCTATGTATCATTTCTTTAAATATTGCTTCTGCCATGTGTATTTCTTCCTCCTTTTGGGATTCCAATTCACTATGTTCAACCTCGTATAAATTACGTTTTATTCTCTTACATTTTCCACACTAATATATCTCAATACTTCACCCTAAATAGTTCCTTCTAGCCTGTCAGTTCACTCATTTTCTTTTCAAATATATCTAATCTGTTGTTAAATTCATTCACAGAGTTTTCAATTTTAGTTTTTTTTACAGTTCCAGAATTCCCCTCTGGTTCTTTTCCAAATCTGCCATGTCTTTTAAGATATTGTTTGCTCTGTCAAAACTTTAACCTTTTACCTCCCTAAACATAGTTGTTTTTTAAAGACATTATCTAAAATTCCTATATCTAGAGCCCTTAGGTCTATTTCTGTTGTCTATTTTTAGGGTTTTCTTTTTAACATTATCTATGGGGTACAATGCTGTGTTTTGAAAAACTATAGAAATAACTTGAGGCCTACAATTGTTACCTGTGTCCTAAGAGGATTATGGTTTGCACATGCCAGTGCCTAAGAACACTAGCCTGCCTGATGGGTTAAGAATCATTATAATCAAATTTCTGAGACCAATGTTCTCTAGTCGCTAGGTTATGCAAAGTTGGCCTAAAATCTGAGCAAAGGCTATTTCACTTACAGTTCACCCTTAACCCTAGGATTCTCAATCCAGAATAGGGGATTTTCAGTGTCCTCTAACATCAAGTAGGCCCTGGCCCCCAAATTTTGTCTTTTGAGCCTTAAACATATGATCAGCCTCTCAAGCCTGAACAGGCAAACATCCCAGAAAAAGCAGTTCTAAATGCTGAGCTTACTCTCTTTAGGTTTCTGTCTCTTCCTGATTTTGACTTAGCAATTCTCTGCTATCTTGTTCCTCTGATGATGAACATATTTTGCTACAAAGAAGTTCCACAACTACTGTGAATCTTTCTCTTCAGCATTACGAAGTGTCTTTTGTTGTCTCTTAATTCGTTCCTCAGCCCTTAATTCAATTCTGCCTGTCATTTTCTTTTTATGCCTTTGCACTCTTTTATTTCACCCTCTGAATCTCTGTGTTTGAGTTTTTTAAAAAAAAAATTTAATTTCTGAAATTTAAAAAATATTTTTATTGAATACATCATAGTTGTTTATTTCTATTTATTGAACTCACCTATTAGAGAACCACTGCCATAAAAGCAAACAAAAAAACTATGGTCACAAAGGAAATATTTCCATCTTATGCTTACCGTAAATTCTTCTTCCTCCTCATCACCAGATTCTCCAAATATGTCTGCGATAAGATTTCTAGACAAGGGAATACAAAAAACTTATCATTGGTGCTCTTCTCATCTGCATAGGAACCTAAAATCTTTTTGTCATAGGGTGTCATTTACATAGAGCAGAATGTGCCCTTCTTGCATCCATTTTAATGGGCTTTGACAAAGGTATGCATTCAAATAGCCATTACCCTAATTTAGATACAGAACAGTCTCATCTCCCCAGAAGGTTCGCCTGGGGCCCTTTCGAGTCATTTCCCACATCAACACCCTAGAGCGGGCCACTATTCTATCTCCATCACCAGGTCAGATTGGTTTTACCTCTTCTTGAACTTCACGTCCGTGAAATGGGACGTGTCTGTCCTCTTTACGGATTTCATGCAAAACAGTATTCTGAGATTCACCTGTGCTGTGTATCAACAGTTCAGGAACTAAAACCCTGAACCCCCAAAGTCGTGCAGTTAGGCAGGACACACCGTACTGTTCCCTCGACACAAGCTCTGTTATATGTTTTCAATCCTCAACCCAGGATATTTTTTCCTTTGCTTTTCAGAGAGTGGAAAAAAGAGGAGAGAGAGGGGACACACAGAGAGAGAAACATCAATGTGAGAGAGACAAATCAATTGGTTGCCTCCTGCACGCGCCCTGGCCAGGGCTGGGGATCGAGCCTGTAAGCCAGGTACGTGCCCTTGGCCGGCTCAAACCTGGGGCCCTTCAGCCTGAGGGCCGACGCTCTGACCACTGAGCAAAACTAGCCAGGGCTCAGCACAAAATTTTAATACAAGTTTAAATGCACCTCACATGAACCCTTGAGCAGCTGTGATCATGTCACTTACTCTTCTTCATTCCCTGACTCGCTGTCACTCCCAAACAGATCCTTCTCTTCATTTTTCTTATCAGACAACTCCTTCCCTGCTTCTTCTTCGCTGTCAGATGCTGTCGTCTTCTCTCTTTTGCCAGATTTGTCTGATACCACATCGCTGTCGGAGTCCTCTGCGTCAGAGACAATACGGCTCTTCTTTGCTGCTGTAGAAAAAAAAATCATCATTAATCTTACTCTGTCACAGTCACTGTGTGACTAGGAACAAGTACCTTAAAATGGCATTATGTGGCAAAATCAAAGGCCCCCTGACACATAGTTTAGAAAAAAAAGTAACTAAAAGGTTCATTCAGAGTCACCTTACAATTATTGTTTAGGAAAAAGTGGCCAAAAGATGGAAAGTGAAATAGCTACCTTTCCTTGTGGAGAAGAGAAGAGAGACTAGACTGATGTACATGAGAACAGCTTCTATGCTGCTCAGTACTAGCATAGTTTAAAGGCTGGACATTATTTTGTGGAGTCCCCATGGTCCCTGATCCTCACTGGTCTGGAATTTCTCATCTCGCTGAGTAAACCAGCACGTGTGGTGCTCTTTTCTTCTCCTGTAACAACTGTCAGGTTATAAGGGAATGTGTCCTTTCCAAAACAGTTTTGTAAAAAAGTAATCAAGTAGCAAAATATAAGGTCTCTAAATAAAGAGATGCGTACACACGAGAGCCCAGTCACTGTCAGGATGGCTTTTAGGCCATTAAAAGTCCCACAGCTAACTCTGGTCAACTCTTGGTTCTCTGAAATGTTACCCTTTCCAGTAAAAATACTCAATCTTTCACATCCCCACTGAAATGCAGTCTAGCTTACCATTCTGAGGCAGTCGGACCTAAGAAATACTATCAGAACACCTCGAAAGAAATTTAATATTAAGATTGGTCAATAAAAATCAGGGAAACTCATGTGCTGGTGATCCTTTGGAATGAAAGACTATAGGCCCAGCATCCCAGGAAAAGACACGATGCTTCAGTTACAAGCTTAGGCTTAAGTCAGGTTACGACGACAGCCCGCGCAGTTCCTTACATGCTCCCTCCTCTTCACTGTCGGAAAGCACCGCAGCCTTTCGCTTCGCTGCCTCCTCCCCCTGCTTCTCTGGCTCCTCATCACTGTCCATTTCTGGCCGTCTGGGGTCTTCCTCCTCGCTGTCGGAGCCGCGAGACCTCTTCCTGTCTCCCTGGCTATCTAAGCGGAAGGCGCTGTTCTGCACCTCTGCGCCCTCCCCCTTCTCCCCATCGCTGCCATCATCTGACTCTGGCTTCTGCTTGTGTCTGGAGGCTTCTGTGTCTGAATCACTGGCAGGTGCCTTCTGAGGCTCCTCACTCTCAGAGTCACTGACTCGGGGTTTGGGAAGCTCTTCATTTTCAGAGTCACTGGCCTGGTTCCTTGGGGGATCCTCACTTTCCGAATCACTAATTTGTGGTTTGGGAAGCTCCTCATTTTCAGAGTCACTGGCTTGGTGCCTTGGGTGATCCTCACTTTCTGAGTCACTGATACGGGGTTTGGGAAGCTCTTCATTTTCGGAGTCACTGGCTTGGTGCCTTGGGGGATCCTCACTTTCTGAATCACTGATACGGGGTTTAGGAAGCTCCTCATTTTCAGAGTCACTGGCCTGAGTCCTCTGAGGCTCCTCACTTTCTGAGTCACTGATTTGAGGTTTGGGAAGCTCCTCGCTTTCAGAGTCACTAACTTGAGGTTTGGGAAGCGCCTCGCTTTCAGAGTCACTGGCTTGGTGCCTTGGAGGTTCCTCACTCTCAGAGTCGGTGACTTGAGGTTTTAGCGCATCCTCTGTTTCCGAGTCACTGGCAGGACTTTTTGGGAGCTCTTCAGTCTCTGAATCACTGGCAGGGTGCTTTCTAACATCTTCATTTTCAGAGTCACTTGCATGCCCATTAAGAAGCTCCTCATTTTCAGAGTCACTAACAGGTAATTTCTTGGTCTCCTCACTCCCAGAGTCGCTCCCATGGTGATTGACACCCTCATTTTCAGAATCACTTGCAGGAGGCTCTACATGATCTTCAGACTCAGAGTCACTGTCCTTTTGCCTTTGAAGCTCCTCACTCTCAGAGTCACTAGCATTAAGATTTGAGGGGTCATCATTCTCAGAGTCTGTCACATGATGTCTTTTATTAAGGCCATCTTCTCGATCACTAGGTTCATTCTGAAAAATGAGAGAAAGTGCAAAAATGTTTGGTAGTGAAATGTTAAATTTCTTACATTGTAGGAATACACACACCTAAATGCAGAATTCTTATCCTATACCTACACAGTAACATCCCACCTTACAGAAGGCCCTTTATCTGTAAAATGGCTACCATGGCTTGGATCCCAAAGTGGGGAAAAGATAACCAGCTTTCACCAACACAAATATGTAAAGCAATTTAAAGAGCTAAGAAAGAAAGCCTAACTTTCTCACATAATTCTAGCTCCTAAACATACTTTTCAAAGAAATACAAACAAACATGTAACCAAGTTCTTAAAAAAATTGTTTTTACAGGTTAAAATTATTTTAAGAAAAAGAAACATAAAGCTTTAATATATAGGGCATATTCTCCCAACAAACAAGGAGAGGTATAATTAACATTTACCAAGTACCTAAGCCAGATACCAAGTTAGAGGCTCTCCTATTAGTTCATTTACTCTGCACAATAGTACTTTTCATGGTAAGAAAACTGAGGCTTGATCATACATCTAGTAACCCAGGTAGAAAAGTTTGTTTTAGGAAAACATGACTAATCTAACTATAGAATGTTACTTGGAAGTAATCTGAAAACATATACACACTTGGTATACATATTTTATAGCTATGTTTTTTAAAATGCAGAGAAAAATATACAAAATTAAACATACAAAGACACTAATAAAGTGTTTTAAGATCTGGGGAATTTTTCCCCCACCTAGCATCTTTCAATAACAGCGATGACATTCTGGTTTAAAAAGTTAAAGTATTTCTGTGTTAAAATAAGTGACAAGATAAATGGCCTGACATGTTTTCACAACACCTATACTTGAACTGACCTGTTCAGCTGTTGTCTAATGAGGAGCCAGCCAATTATATGGTAACACTATTATGAAGGTATGCATAATTATTTTGAAAGCCTACAGGAAGTGATCTATATGAGACTAAGCTATAAAAGGTGTTTAACAACAGGTTTTTCTGTTAACATGTGATGACTGAGTTAAGAAGTTAACTAGATTACTTATGCGGAAAGGAGAGACATACAGATACCAGCAGAGGCAACTAAAGCAGGAGGCAAAAATAAAACTGTAACTGGCTTTTGGAATGCTTTTATGACATGCCCGTGACATATCTCTTAACACCACGTTTGTGTGTGACTCTATTTTAGTTGCAAACAACAGAAACCACCTCCAGAAAAAAGAACGATCTTCTCAGAATCAAAGTGGGATGAATGACTAAAGATTCAGGAAGGGTAGGAATACCAAGACAGCTTAGAGAGCTTAGAAAAGGGAACTCAAGGATCTTTTCACTACAGCATCATACAAATGAGTCAGCTAACCATGCTAAATTTCAGTGTTTGGGACCTAAAAGTTAAATTCCTGGGAGAGATAATCTTAGCAGCTATAGCAATACTAGATGCTGTGAGACTCAGTGATTCAATGGGTTACAGCCAGAACAAGGGCATAGCACTGGGAGCCATGCCCCAAGAAAAGAGAGAAACCAGGAAATGGGCATTCATTCCAAAACTTACCCGCTACACTCTACCTCGGATTTCCTAACACATGATGTATGCACGCCAGAACAAGCAACCATTACAAGGACGTTATATATGATAATTACTGAACTTATGAATTCCCATCAATTTTAAGGAGTTTCATAAAAACGGGAGTATCTATCCATTATTTGTGGCACAGTGGGAGAAAAAGGGTAAGAAATTACTGCAGTAAGAAAGTGCTATCCCACAGACTCGAGTTAAAGAATGCACTTAGGCAATGGCATCACTAGGTTTGGGAAAAGAATATATTAGAAATTATACAAGCTTACAAGTTATCAAATAGCCGCCGGCTGGGTGGCTCAGCTGGCTGAGCGCCATCTGTGCACTGGAAGGCTGCTGGTTTGATTCCTGGTCAGGGCACCTATCTGGGTTGCTGGTTCAATCCCTGCTTGGGCATGTGTGGAAGGCAACCAATGGATGTCTGTCTGTCTCTCCCTCCCCTCTCCCTGGGAACCCCCTTGGGTGAGGATTAAAAACAACAAAAACAATCTTCAAAATTTTTAGACTGAAATTAGTTTAAATCGCAAACTTAAAAAATCCAAAGTACAGTTTAAGTCAGATATGAATACAGTAACTCAGTAGTAGAAATTGTAAAAAAATCCCCTCACTGTCACTGTCAGAGAAACTGAGCACTCTCAGGGTCCTCTGAGGCTTCAGAAATGCCTGCAGCACTCACATCCCCCCTCCTACAGCTACTCCCGCAGTTATAAATACCTGCGGGTTATCCACTTACCTCGGAATACCGACCAGGGCCACAGCACACGCGCGCGCACACACACACAACTGACATTCTAAAATTACAAAGTAAACAATAAACTGTCTTAAAGCAAACACCAACTTGTAAATTTTAAAGTAGTATATGAATGTCAGGTAGAAATCCTTGTAAAGAATCAAACAACTGAGAACACTTGTTTGTTCCTTACTCATCAACAGAATAAAACTCAAAACCGTCGAATGTGCATACTAACCTCCCATTATAAAGTGGTAAACAATCCAGCGCCAAGTCACAGAGTAGATTCCATGAGGAAATACCTTAGTACCAGATGATATACTTGAAATCCTCATCTTATAGTTTGTCAATACCAGCTTAATTATATGAAAGAATCTGAGGATCCAGCCATAAAACAATACTTGACCTAGTGTAGCTTCTGGAGTGCTTGCTGCAAAGCTCTGATTTTGAGAACCTCGTTTTACAGCAAGCATACAGATGATAAAATGAGGCTATACACCACAGTCTCCTTTGTCTGTCAAAAGTTAGTTCACTTTAGAATCAGACAGTCAAACACAAAGCACTCCTGATGAGAGTACTGCAAAAAGAAAGTTGGACACAGAGCTTAAGAATTTATAGATGCAGCACACCCCCAACTACCTTCCAGACTCACTTCTGGCCTTTTGACCAACATCAACCCCATGCACTGTACAGCAGTTCCTCCACTCTGGTGTGCGTAAGAATCACTTGAAGAGCTCCGGTGAAAAACATAGATTTTTCGCTTCTCATCTCAGTATTAATCCAGTAAATCTGGGGAAGGGGTCAAAGAATCTGCATTTTGAAATATAATCCAAGTGATTCTGATTGCACTTTAGATAGAAATTCTACTCCAGACACATGAAACTAAAACTGGACAACAAGGGGTCCAGGCAGCCTGTCACCACTTGAGCCAATTTAGGAGAGACAAGGGTTGAATCATATATGAACGTTTATTCCAATATTGCCGGCAATATGGGAGAGCAGTAAAGTCATCCACGAAAATCTGCAATCTTGCCTGCCTACCCCTCCCACCCCAAAAGCCAGATGCTTAGACTGTGTAGAAGGACAGACCAAATGGAAAAATAGGAAGTAGGAAATACAGACATGGGGAAGTAGGCAAAGTATAATGGTCACAGGGTTTCAGGAAATGTGGCTGTGGGTTGCAAAGGGCAGGTGCCTTCAAGACTCCATGTTTTGGAAACAAGGTTATCTTTCCATGATAAAAGATTGGATCGCTCCCATGTCCCTCAGGCGTACAACTCCCAGCCAGGTTAGAAAGTGCTTTTTCTAACTGGAACAGAACAATCAGAGTTAACAGAACGTGATTAATATTTCTTATAACTACAGCTAAAAGTCATGGTTAACAGAGCATAATGAATACTTCTTCCCCTAACAGAACTACTACTGACTTTATGATGTTACCTCCATGCCTTTACAAATGCTGTTCTCTTTGCCTAGAGCATTTTTCTCCTAACTTGTCCTATTTATCTCTCAAAACTAGGCAAAAATACCAGCTTCTTAAAGCCTCTTCCATCTTTCTCTATGTAGAATGGACCTCGTGCAACATAATGTGACAGTTAAGAACAGGGACTTTAGAGTCAGAAAGACCTGGGGTCCAAATCCCAGCTCGGCCACTTTCTACTGTGTGATCTAGAAAAATTTTCTTAACTTCTCAAAGCTTCAATGTCCTCAACCTGGTGGAGTTAGGAATAGTATCTATACTTTATGTAAAGCAGCTCAGTGCCTATGAGCATTCAATAAATATTATTAACCATTCATAACAAAATATCTTATTAATTACAAAACACTTGTGGACAAAAAGGGGCCACATGCTAATAAACCTGACAAGCTCAGGGCAGGCTTGCATAATGGCCTTGCAAACTCAGAGACCTAAAGTAACCACAAAAAGATGGTCTGAAACTAAAACTTTTTAAACTAAAAGCAGTCTATGGTGAGCAGTCACGTCCTAAGGCAGTATTTTTCCCTAGCAAATGTTAATTTTCACCTTAACTAAGCCTGTCCATTTGTCTTTTTGCGGTAACATACCTGATTAACATGTGTTTGCAAAACAAAGTAATTTCCCCTTCAGGCACTCATTGGAGACCACAAAACCCCTCAATATTATTATAATGTTAATTGTAACTGTTAACTATCCAACACCCACATCCGCGTAAGAAGTGTGTCTATTATTTTATTTTTTATCCATCCCAGAGATTCCACCACCCCTTTGTTTTCTCTCGCCTCCCTAATTTATAATCAATGGGTTTCCTGTAACTCACTTATGTCTCCTCTTTTGATTGTAATATATAAAACAAGGTGCAAAACTGCCATTCTCAATCCGCTGAGATTCTGCTTCCCAGCAATTGTCGACAGTTTGGCTCAAATAAACTCACAAAAAAATTATACATCTGAAACTAATATAACCAATGTATGATTATATACCAACAATACTTAAACAATAAAAAGGGAAGAAAAAAACATACTCATTCATCTGTGAAGGTGGAGTTGGTTACCCATTCCTTCAATACCCCCATGTGCCAAACCCTTATTTCCTTTCTTATGCTAATGACGTCTCATCTGTCCATTTCAGTGTCCTCGACCTAAGAGTGGCTCTGGCCCCTCACTGAAGCGGGCATTTGTCAATGTCAGGAAAGGAGATGTTACTAGCATTTCACTTAA